GGCCTTAGGTTGCCTACCCCTGGTCTAGATCAAGGGAAGGAATAGTGCCACTCTCTTCTGCTTTGGACAGGCTTCACTTGGAACATTATGTTCAGTTCTGGGCACCACAATTCATAAAGGATGTTGAGAAGCTGGAGCATGTCCAGAGGAGGGCGACTAAAATGGTGAAGGGTCTGGAAACTATGCCTTATGAGGAAAGACTTAGAGCTAGGGATATTTAACCTGGAGAAGAGACATTTAACAGGTGATATGATAGCCATGTTTAAGTATTTGAAGGGGTGTCATATTGAGGATGGAGCAAGCTTGATTTCTGGTGCTCCAGAGAATAGGACTTGGAACAATGGGTGCCAGCTATAGGAAAAGAGATTCCACCTCAACCTTTGGAGGAACTTCTTGACAGTAAGAATTGTTCAACAGTGGATCACACTCCCTGGTGGAGTCTCCTTCTTTGGAGGTTTTTAAATAGAGTCTGGATGGTCATTTGTCAGGAGTGCTTTGATGGTGCATTCCTGCATGGCAGGGGGTTGGACTGGGTGGCCCTTGTGGTCTCTTCCAACTCTGTGAAAATCAGAATGATCCTACTTGAGCCTTTTTTTAGTTTAAATATATGTTCAGTTTTCTTGTGTATTCCTGCATGGCAGGAGGTTGGACTGGATGGTCTTTGCACTCTCTTCCATCTCTGCTTTTGTGCTACTATGATGTGGATTTTTGAGCTGTATCTCATAAACTTTGTACGCCACCTTGAGACTAGTGGGAAAACAATCTATATATCCTGTAGTTCTTTCTATGCAAATCTCCAAAAAAGGGCTTGTGAAGCCCACTATCAAACAGTTCTTACCATCAGGCCATAAGGAACCTCTGCAGTGGTCCCCAAAGTGTGCTCTTTAAAGGATTTTGGACTTCAGCTCCCACAATCCCAGACTATTGGCCAATATGGCTGAGGCTTCTGGGAGCTGAAGTCTAAAATCTCTTAAAGGGTGGCCTTTATTCTATTCTAATTATTCTAATTAAATCTGGCCTCTGATTATGGAGGCCGGCCATCAAACTGTGCATAGCAGGGGGTTGGACTGGATGACCCTTGAAGTCACTTCCAACTCTATTCTATTC